TACGCGACGAGCAACTTTGTTCGACAGACTTTAATCGACGATTGTTGCGCGCTCGGCATTTCTCGGATCGGCTAAGGGGGGTTGGTTTCGAAGTGTGTCAGGGAAAATATTGTAACCCAAAAAATTGTAGAGTGAAGCTTGGGTCGGTAATATATATTAGAATATTTTTGTACTTTGGGTACGATTGGAATAGTTTTATGGGGTTAGTACATTATGGTAAGCCCTGGTTAGACTTTGGAGCAGTATAAGGTATTTCTAAATTGCAGATGTATGTATGTTTAACCCTTTGCACTCGGATGTTTCATTGGAAACATTTTTATATTCTCTGATGAGGTAAAGACGATGTTTTGTGAAACTCGAAGGGAAATTACAAGGGCATCGAGAAACAAAGCTATTTTATTTTAATATTTCTTAAATTGATGCATTATATGAAGTATAATATTAAATATCAAATTTCATAGTTCTGTATGAAATCAAATAGTGAGTGAGAGTCACCTCACGAGTGCAAAGGGTTAACCCCTTGCGGACGGAGACTCTTTTAAGTACACAAAGCTTGCAACATATGAAGCTAAATTACACATCAGATGCTCAAACAATAGAAAAAGGAAACTATACACTGATCACTTGCTACTCAAGTAATTAAATCATTCATTTGCAACTTAGTATTCAAAATGGTGGAATATTATATATGAAACGTAATAATATTTACATGAAAAATATTATATATGAAATATAATAATATCTATACGAAAAATATTATATATGAAATACAATAATGTTTATATAAAAAATATTATATATGAAAACTTCATCTCGCCGAAATGTCGACATTCGTCCGCAAAGGATTAACCCCTAGCACTCCAGGTTGTTTTGTAATCTAGCAACTGCAACTAATTTTTATAGTATTCCTAGCGAAAATTAGAAATGCTATAACATTTCATCGATCTTCTATTTTCCTTGTTTGTACAAAATTTGGATGCGTGGAAAATCGAATAATTTTAGGGTAGTTTCTAAGATTCATTAAAATATTTAATATTATAACGGTGCAATATTGGAGCCTACAGAGTTCAAAGGGTTAACACTATATATCGATACAGATACTTAAATGATTCAAAGTCGAAATTTCAATACAGCTCTTGAGCGGAGAATTCAGTAGCAATATTCATAATCAGCATACCTATCAATAAAACCATCTCCGTCGCCGTCGCATGCTTGGAACAGCTTCCTAACGCGTTCCTCGTCGCAGATGGAGCCTGCCTCACTCTCGGCATCCGCGGTTTGTGACATCTTCACTTCACCTCTCGCTGGTCCATCGGACGACAAACATTCCGCGCACCACCCGCTCGTTTCGTGTCCATCTTTCCCCCTAGGCTTTGATCCTCCTAGCTCCACGTCCACGGAGAACAATCCCCTATTTTTTCCCTCTACTCAACTGCCCGCATATCAACCTCTTCTGTACGACCGACTCCCACGAACCTCGGCCTTCAACTGAAGCCCTCCCGGTATACACGAAAATGACAAAAAAAAGAGAAACAAGAAACTAGGAAAACTACTTAGAATCGCAGGACTCGATCGCGACCGTGCGTCTTCGAGTGGACACAGCGGATCGTTATGTCACGTGTTGCATCGCGATCCCCCCGTGAATCGATCCCCAAAGAAAAAAAGACGACAGCACAACCGAACCGGCCTGATCGCGGCGATGATCGTGTCGGCGAAGGTCTACGAACCACGATGGTAGCGAGGGCTATTTTTAGACGGCCGAAAGCGGCGCGTAGATCCCCTTGTTCCCGTGGACTCGGAGCCCGATGCGCGGAGCATAAACAAATCGGCCGCGGGAGCGCGTGCCATTCTCACGCGAACGTATGTAAAACCGATGATTTTTCGCTCCCCGACTCACGCACTTGCCCCTCGACGGCCAGGGGGGACCGTGTGCCACCTGCGCCGACCCGTCGGTTCAAACGACGAGATCCGTGACCTCTGTACCGGTGCGAATGCGAGCCGCGCTACGGACACCCGTAACCGTCGTTTCCAGTGTCACCGAGTCACTAACCCTAACCTCAAAACCGGACCCCAGGCTCACCCACCCTCGCGAGCCGCACAGCGGCAATAAAAACTATCGATTGAAGACGCAGGTACTTTTGACATGATGCGCCATCTCGACGACGTCGGAGGAACCGCTGGAACCAAGATGGCGGAGGTAGTGGGAAGTTTGAGCAGTCTCGTGGTAGATCACGTTAGTTCATTGATGATTTAGTTGGTTGTTTGATTGAGGATAAATGATTGTGGTTTGATTGAATTAATTGTTTGGATATTTCTCTTGAAGGTTTAATCGATGTTGGGTGTTTGTGAATGGTTTATTTGTTTAGAAATTTTGTAAATTGGATTGTAGGTTATATGGTTCTACTGTAGGTATGGAGGGTAGGATGACGTTGAAAATTTATCAGTGGGAGATTATTGAAGAATTTAGTCGGTAGAGTAGAGATTCTGAGACCGATAATTGGATTGTTATGAATTTTGGTACCGGAAGGGGACCAGGAAAATTCGGAATGTTTATAGTAAAACTGGATTTGGAAAAATAATGCTTTTATTGGTGCTGACGCGCCTCCGACGCGCATTCGATCGAAAAGGTAACAAAAAAGTTTGCGTACATCTGTACAATCGTAACGAACTCGCGTTACTTTTTATTAATCAACAGTTCACCTACCGGAAGTCTATTGACGGATACCTGGGTAAACCACTAGACATGGATTATATCTGCCGTTGTAGTTTAAAGATTCATTAAATATTCCTTAGCGCAGTGACTTTAAAATGATCATCAAAAAACTAGCGGCAGGTAAAGCATTAATGTTAATAAATGCGTTACACGTGATCTTCGTTTACGACTTTAATTTCTCAGTCAACACGGGCAGAAGTTTCTTGAGTTTCCCCGAGTCATGACTGAATGCCCACATTATGCACCGAACGTGTTCCTCGGTGGGCAAACCCTCTAATTCACCCTCTGTCTGGAACCATTTACTGTTCTTCTCCTTAATATCAGCCATCAGGCTCTTCAGGTTCTTATTCCTCTCCACGTCCCAAGTAACATTCTCAGAATCTGAGACTTGCACAGTCCTGAGCTTCTTGTAGTCACCTTCCACGTCCTCGTACGCTCTGTAAAACGACAAACTCCCAGTCAATAATCCCAAGTCTTCGAGTAATTAGAAATAAACAACCTTTTCAGTCAAACGACTCACTTGAGGAATCCATTATTCTCGACTTCATATCTATCCGCCAGTGATTTGAAAGCTCGCACCAGATCGAGTGGCAAGTAGTTGAAGTTCTCCTTGGCCCTGCCGTTGACGTTGTAGTCCGTGATCCAATTCTCGAATACCCCGACAGCCTCTTTCATGTTCTTGATCTTTTGCTCGTCTTTTGTGCACGATATCACGCGCTCCGCCCTTTTCATCAGGCCTGTGATCGCGTGGTACTGATAACTTACGTCCCTTCCATCCAGCGACTCGATGCTCCTCAAAGCTCTCTCCTTGTCTTTGAAGCTGAGCCCGGTCTCTTCTTTCTCTTCCTTGTTGTCGTCCCCCGTTCGTTTCGCAACTTTCCTCTCCGGCTTTTCATCTTCTTCGTCGCTGCTGGATGAACTGTCGTGACTCCTCTTCGTGCCCTTCTCCTTTTGCTCGTCGTCAACCTCCATGTCCTCGCTACATTCGTCTCCGAACTTCTCTTCCACCTCTGCAATCAGCTTCTTCACCTTGCTGGGATCTGGACTGTATCCCAACATGATGCACCGAACGTGCTCCTTTGTGGGCAGCCCGCGGAAGTCGCCGACGTCCGTCTCGTACCAGAGTATACGGTCCTTTTTGATCTTATCGATGATCTCCTTTAGCCTCCGATTCCTCTCGATGTCCCAAGTGGTACTCGCATCCGGGACTTTCACGGATCGCATACTTTTGTAATCCCCCTTTTCCTTTTTGTAGGCCCTGATTGAACGATTCGTCAATTAAATATTTCACACGAGCTTTTATTCTAGTTGCTACAGCTGTTAAAGGGGTGGAAACTATCCTCAAAGCTGAGATCGATCACGAATTTTGCCCCCAAACTTAGAGGGTTGTTCCCAGCCCTTCAAAGACTAAGTTCGCAATTACTTGTAGAATTCATCGTCGAGGACGTCATACTTCTTGGCAAGTGCCCGGAAACCTTTCACCGTCTCGATCGGCAGGTAAGCGAGATTCTCCTTGCTGCGATTGTTCTCCTTGTAATCAGCCAGCCATTCCTCGAAGACTTGCAGGGCTTCCTTCAAATTGGCCAGCTTCTCTTCATCCCTGGTGATCTGCAGCGTTCTCTTGGCACGGCTGACGAAACTCACGATCACATGGTACTGGTAGCTGATGTCCCTACCGTCCAGCACCTTCAGGGTGTCCAATGCCTTCTGCTTGTCCTTGAAACCCATTCCAGTTTCCTCGGGTTCCGAAGATTTGATTTTTGCCATGGCTAAAAAACAAAATTGTCTTGTCAGAGCTACTTGAACCAGTTTCGCGAAGTTTGAGCAACGCTCGAGCACGCGTGGGATGTGTTTTCGGTGCACGTGACTGGTAGCCAGATTCCCGCGACCGAACTGAACGGCCAATCACCGCGGAAACACGGATGTTTGAGAAGAGCGTGACGCCAGCACGTCAGTTTTATCGTTGACGTAGTTGCTGGACGATGGAGGCTACAATGTAGAAGGATCAATACAAGCCAGACGGCTGGCTAAAAAGTTATATTTTACTGTTTCGCCGACGGGCTACCCTTTGATCGTGACACCGATCGATAGAGGCACTTTACGCGGAATAATATGCGAATAATATAAAAATATAAAATAAATATAAAAATAATAATAATACAAAATAAAGAATAAAGGAAAGGAGAATATAGGAACTACTTACCAGATGTCTAAGAATCCACTGGATCTCGTTTAAAACACTAACGATTTAATTATATCACCAGCACTGACGCTATACTAGGTCTATGCTAACGTTATCCTTGACTAGTATTGTCTCTGGTTCCAGTAGAGCGAAAGAGTTCCGTTGAACCGCTCAGCTGAGACTGTCCGATTCACCGGGAGTCGGTTTGTGTTGCTGACGTTCGCCAGCAAGGCATCGTGACATAAGCGCAAGAAGGACGAACGACAGCCGCCGAATCAAGGGAAAGAGAGGGGCAGATATAAACATAGACACCGTGTGTCACTGCCTGAAATACGCCAGGAATTACGTCACGTGCCGGTCGCGGGAAAAAAGTTGCTCAGAAAACGATGCGTCGCGTTTCCAACGTGTCTAGGTCAGAGGCATAATCGCTTATGCTAATCGGGAACGACTCGCCGCGTTCCTCTGTTCCATCTATCAATGAGAAAGCTGCGGGACTTCGCACTGGCCGCTGACGTAACTGGATAAATTCGGTAATGACGACTGCCGAGCTTGTTCTTTCGATAAAGATTTATTTCATATTTACAGAAATTACAGAGCGTATCCAGCGGTGAACTACTTGGACTCGCGACAACGATCACAAGCGATTAGATCCTCCGGTCTACATGGTGCTTAACCGATATGGCCGATCGATTATTCGTGCCCCTGCCTTCAGGGTTCTATCATCTCGAAACCTATTTACACGATCCACGGAATCGCGCGATTCGATCCGTGTACCACGAAGTTCCTCTAGGTCCAACGAACTGGACTAGCTAAGGATTTCCAGGTAGTCTATTTGGAGGGTTCGATTCTCTAAATTTCGATTCTATAGACGCTAAAGAGGATGGATCACTGAGAATGGCTATCATTCATTTGGTAATTCAAAATTTTCCATCCTCCCCTCTTGCGGTACCAAAAATGGCCATTCCCATTCATCCTCCCTTCCCCTAAAACGATCTAGTGGTACCGGGTGCAGACTGGTTGCACCGTGGATGACGAATCGCGCGTTTCATCTGTCACCTGTGCACGCTATACGTTGCATTTATTTCTCACGTATATTATGCACAAGTCTCAAAACGATTCGCGACTACAGAGAAAAGAGGATCGGCCATCTTTACGGGAGTCAGCTCCTGCCGTACCGTTCGACGATGGCAACGAATCAATCCTCTATTCCAACCGTAGTCGTCGTTCGTACGTCAATCTCCGACTTGTCGTCTTCCGATAAAGAAGATAGATGAAGATTCAGCAGACGCAACTGCCAACGCCGAGGCAGGCGTACGAAGTTTGCTCGATCTTCGAGCTGGTGGTGGTGGCATCTAGCAAGGTTGGCTGCGGCGCGGCCGGTAATTGCGTTCTCTGCACGCCATCGTATAAAATCGACGAGGTTTCCCGTTCCCTGGTGATGCCGTCGGTCTCTTGGCAGTACGGGATCCTCGATAAATCCTGAGTCCTCGATTCCGTTGGTGTTTCGTGGCTAGATAGGCGGCCGTAGTTTAAAAAGGTCTCCGCGTAGCTTGACGGAGGATGATGATGGGCGCTATTGTACTCGTGCGAGTAATGGGGATGATATCTGTTCGAAGGTGTCTTGAAACCGTCGTTGCCACCTAGGTACTGGTGCAAATGGTGCAGGCTGGACGATCCGTACACTGCTGACATAGGAAAACAATAAATAGCGACAATCACGTGAAAAATGTGCAAAGAACATCACTGTTTAACACTAGATTCAGAGAACGCGTCAGCTTGACGCATATTGAATTTTATAAGTATACAAAAGGCTCACCCGCTGCAGTGTTCGAGTACATGGCAAGAACAGCGTCCCCATAGCCATTGGCAGAATGTTTTCCCAGCTCGGAGACATCGTTCGTAGTGGATATCTTACTAGATATAGACTGGCTTCGAACGCCATTCTGTACTTCGCTGGGAAGACTCGACGACCCTCCCGTGCCATACGCCATATTGAACAGGGCTTCCGGATCGCACACGAACTTGTACACATATCTTTCACCCGCTACTTTCTGCATTATACCCTTTTCGTAGTAATACCTCAGCGATCTGCTGAGTTTATCATAGTTCATCGCAGGACGGTTCTTTTGGACACCCCATCTACGAGCTACCTGAAGAAAAGAATGAAACGGGAACGTCAAATTCTGTTCTGCGAAGGGTAGAACTTCGATGTAGTCAATCCTTTATCTTATAATTGTTCTTTGGCCCAAAGTGTGCAAAGTTTGAAGATTTTAAATAGATTTCATTGATCCTCTAAGACTAATATTAACAACTTCCATTTTATTAGTATAACTTTTACCAACGACTATCGAAAACGAATGAAGATTACCCATGTTCCTTACCTCTTCCGGTTCTATAAGCTTGAACTCCATTCCGCGACCCGTCCACGCAATACACGGCGCGTTCGCAGGATCGTCTAGGAGCGTAACTAGAAACTGCCAAAGCTGAAGCGATCCACGTCGTTGCTGCTGATATCCCACTGTCATCTCGCTCCACGGCGACACACCGGTCGTCGACGACGGCCTTTTGCCAGCATAGTCCGCGTTCCACGAGCTGGGCGAGCCTTTCTTCTGGTAGCAGTTCCCCTGTCTCTCCCACGACGGGTTCCTGCTGTCTAATTGAGCACCAAGCTCCGTCCACGTGGGGGTCACGCTTCTTCTGCCGTACACATCCGAACTCCAGTTCTCTTGCCGCGGAAAGAAAGCGTCGGTGGACGCTGACACAGTCGACTGCCATTGGGAAGCTGCCGAAGACGTGCTGGCTGGTCTGTTGGGCGACGGCGAACCTCTACTGTTCCTCGTTCCGCTTCCATATTGTTGCTGCTGGTAGACCAAGTTGTTGTCTAGGGAGCACCAAGTGTATTCGGTCAATCTTTCGGTTGTTGCTGATACGCTGACAAGGGAAGTTCAAACTCGGAAATTCAAAAAATTATGAAACTCTGTGCAGTAGAGTAAGTGAAGCCTAATACATTACAATTTACCAAAATTCATGAAAATTTTAGTTTGCAATTGCATGGACAAGAATGTATCGTTTGTTTAAACTTTCGCTATCTCTTACCGTTCAAGATAATCCACGGAAATAAAAATTTGCATTTCCTTCGAGGGGTGGTTTCAGCCCTTAAAGTAAAATTCAGCAGCAAAAAGGAAATTGCAATATTAGATTCGACTTACTCACACAAAATTACATCACTTTTCAAACTTCCGGGTTCAACAACTTCCCTTGTAAGTCATTGTCTACGAAGGACCGAATAGATCAGTCAATCTTTCAGCTAGTAGGCTATGTATGTAGGTATATATTTATTACACCAACTTCCGTTGTCGCTGGCAGACCAAACAATGATCTACAGAGATTCAGGAATACATATCCACATGCTTTTGATCAATCTTTGAATTGTTGCCACTGATAGAGTAGCATCAACGAACGATCAAGTAGGTATACCTGATGAATCCTTCGGTTCTCTCCCTAGCAGGTGAGCGAAGTAGGTTTTTATTGGAGATTAAAGTGAAAGATCGATGCAGCATATAGATCCCAGGGTGCAAAGGAAAGAGCGAGGATGATCAGCAAGATCCCGAGGAGGGGACGAGGAACGGGCGACGTATTAGCGATTGCACTCACGCGCGGTTGCCGGTGAAGTGCTCGTCACACAAATATCGGCAGGAAATTGGTTGATATTCAAAGCCCACGGGGTTGCCGGCTCGGCGAAGCTCGCGGATGGCGGCACCGCCTGAAATACCGCGCGGAGCTCCGCGCGATATGTATATTAATCGGGCGCTCTCCTACCCAGGGAGCGGCAAACACCGCCGGCATCCCGCCGATCCACCCGCGCGCGGTCCCTCGAGCCGAAAAAGCTATTCTCGAACCGTAATCCGGTTACGTTCCAAGTCGTGTACGGGGAATATTGAAAAATTGAGAACCCTCTTCCGATATCGAGCCGGAATGCGACTCCGTCGCGCCGGCCCGCGCCGCACCCCTTTCGCCCGGCAATTAAAACACCGAAACTTCTTCGGGAATATTCTTCGGAATTGATTGCCTTCGGTCTTGTATCCAATGACACGTCGGTCGCGACGTTTTACATGAGAATCAAACATCTTGTTAGTTCTACTTCATTAAAATACGACAGTTTGAAACTCAGACCTAAATTGGAAAGTATCCGAAATAACAAGGATCTAAGATCAAAGCAACCACAGATCAACCCTTAATATACGAAAGAAGTATCTTAGAAACTGAAGCTTCTACTACAATCAAATCTCAATGCCGACTCAATAAGCAACCCTCCAAGAACGTTACCTCAACTTCAAACCGCAGCTCGCTCAGACTTCTCTCGCATCGCGAAAAAACAAAGGGAAACAGAATCTCACAGGTATCTCTCCAATTACCCGGACCCCCGTCCCGCCTCCTCCCTTTTTCTATCCGTAATTACGCTGGATCACTGAAGAAAATCAACAGGAAGGGTTAGCCGGGGTTTAATCGTGTCGGCGAGTTAGCTTTACCTTCCTCGCCCGGCAAACGTCGGTCGGATCATCCCCCCGTTCCCCGTGCAGATGAAACAGACAACGGCGGCGGCTGCGGAGGTGCAGGGGGCTGAAAGCTGCGGGCCAATCTGGCACTCTCTCCGAAGAGCGGGCGGTGAAAGGGGGTCGACCTCAACGTGCAAGCGGGACCAGAGGCTTTGCGGGTAGTTTTAGATTAAAATTAATCGCGAGCTGATGAAACCGGTGGCGATGTACCGAGCAGGAAAAGGGTTGAAGCCGGGACTGGTCAGGGGCGGTGCGCAGAAGGGTTGCACGGAAAAGAGGACGGCCTCCACTCGTCCACTCTCAGACGAGAATCAGCTATCTTCTTTCCTCTCACGCCCCCGCTCTTGTTCTATTTCACGCGACGCTTCTCCCCCGCGGTCCCAGCCCTCTATCTTTCTCGTTTTCTCCAACGAGGCGAGCCTTTATCCCTCCGTCTCTGTCCGCTTGATCCCCGAATTCCGGAGTAGAGGCTGGTTAATAATGCAAGCTCCATTTTCCACCCACCTGACGCACCGAAGCCCCGTCTGTCTTTCTCTGTCCGTCCCTCCTTGCCCGCGCCCGTGCACGTCGAACAACGAGAAATCAACGTGGATCGCGTATCAAGTTGAACGGAGATGATCGCGGCGAACGGCGCAATTACTCACGGCGAGGTTTTGTTATTTATTCAAAGCAGACACGAACTTCTTCGCGCGCCGATGGTAATTTTCGCGGAACGCGCGCGATCGCCGGCCGACCCGGGACTTGACCACCTGTAATCCCCGTGATCCTCGTGCACGTATTAATTAGTAGGGCGGCGACCAATCTGCAGCCATTAACCGGTTATTACTATTCCACCTGATACGATGACGGCCCGTCGGTTTGCGGGATGTTCAGGGTTCGTGCCGTTGATCCCCGTGACATTTCTCGATCGGTGGTTTCAAACGGATCGCTCGATTTGCGGAATACTCTTGTCATCGCGTCCTGCATTCTTGAAAATTGGCGATTCGATTTGCGAAGATACTCAAACGAACTATTTATAAATACGATGCAAAATTATTCTGATACCAAGTAAAACAACGATTCTTCAAGCCCTTAGATTCGCCGAGCAAAAATTCCAATATCCAAAATTGTAAAGTACCATATTTTCCTCGCGAAGCAAACTCCGCGGAAATTGCTAACGCCGCACACGTGTCAGCGTCTATCGATAACACCGATACGCCAACGATCCTATTATTAATCTAAACTGCTGCTAAATAATGGAAACGGCTTAATGGTAGGGAGGAATTACGCGAAGAGAAGTAGAAGCATAATTCCCGGGTGACTTGGAAGTAGACGGGCGTACGGCCCGGCCTGTGTCGGCCCGGCGAGCGTGCCCCGAGCTTCCCGAAGCTTTCGTTTTCGTCCGCGTGAATAAACGAAGAAGTCTAATCATCGTTCCGATTACGAACCATGAGCTTGCAGACCTGACGCGTCGGCTGAACCTTTGGTAACACGTTGTCTATCTCCTCGTCGAAGGTCTATTAGGTGATTGCTCGTGATCTAGGAAAGCTGGCGGCGCGTTTCTTTCAGCGAGACGAACCTTCCACCCTATAGTAACTCCATTAACGTAATCGTCGGGGGTCCGTCAGTGTTGCGAGCGCATCGACGCGAGTTCCTGGAAGCAACGTTCGGCCCGCGACGCGGAGTTTCAACTAGGTTCCCCGGCCCGAAGAAAAGCTCAGTCTCGTTGCTTCTCCCCTGGGACAGAATTCCATGCTCTTTCCTTCGTTTAGCAGCTTTCGCTGGATTCTGCGATCCTCTGTCTTCCTTTTCCCCTTGCCCCCGGCGCTGTAGCTCTCTCGGGTTGAAAGCATTCTTCAATTATTCACTTACGCGTACTTAGTCACGCGTCAGCGAGTCCGGTGCACCGGCGAGCATGCCGCGCAGGATTACGTTTCGCGTTGCAACGTTCGCCGGCAGTTGGTGGACTCTGTTCACGATACTTTATGCAAAAGACCCTGAATACAATTGTTCGGTTGCGCGTTTTGCGGTATCGTTGGATACTGAATATTTTCGAATAGTAGTAAGGGGAAACTTTGAAAATCGGGATGAGGTACGTATTTCATTCAAAATCGAACAGAAAATGAAAGCAATAGTAAAACAATTTTCTATCGAAGGCGTAACTTCTCGACAAACTCCAAAAGTTATCATTTTAATATTTACCATACAGGTGTATACCTCTAATGTCGAATTGGCCCGATTTCCAAGCGCTCGATTATGATAAAACATGGAACGAGGCTGGAAGGGTAGCGGAGACGTTCCAAGAAGAGGAACCGGAAGAAGAGCACGAGCCGGGGTTCGATTAATGGACGGAAACACATCGAGCACTGCCACTGTGCTCCAGTTATTTATGGGACACGTGGGGTAGCGCCCCGCCACATGGGTCCATTGTCAAGAGATTTGTCACGGTGCACGTTTAAGATCAGGGAATCACTGGGTCAGAAAGCTCGATTTGTCGTAGCGTCGACCGTGCTGAATATTATCTGTAGAATGGCGCCTCGTGTCGTTAATGAAGAAATGATTCAGTTACTCACTGTTTCGCGTGTCTTGGGCCGTCGTCGTCGGTATGGCGGCGACGGAAATCGGCTCGCCGTATCCCCTGTCCGCCGGCTCTTCCTTCACCGCGACGCTTTTCGTTGCCTCGCTCGTCTGCGAAGTCAGTTTGCTTGCTCTATGCAAAGAAAACAAGATTTCTAGCTGCTTTCTAATTTTTCTGCGGATACTCGTGCCAATTGAGAATGTTAAACGCTAATTTGTGACAAAGAATAGTGGTAGAATTGGATTTTCTATAGTGGAAGTTTGACTGCGATTGCCATTACATTTTAGAGGAATTTTCACTTTGAAAGATTTTCTACTAAGAGTTTTTCATGTTTCGACAATTTCTAGTAGTTTACAGTGTTCAGTTACGTTACTGTATTGATTATAGTGGTGTTCGAGAATGATCCAAGCCTTACCCGAAGCAATTCGAGCGATTCTCCGGATCCAGATCGAGGAAGGTGCTGTTTTGGCCGTGAGGATGGCTGACGGACGCTTGATACTGCGCGTAACTTGCATCGCTGATCCTCCTGCAATTCGCGGATTCCTGCTTTACGTTGGTATCTGAAAAAGACCAGTTTACTACTTTTCAATGGAAGATTCCGAGAAAATTTATAGAACGCCCCACAATACTGTACTCTTAATTTAAGAGTGAATTAAACCTGATCACTTTTCGTCACAAGTATTTTATTCTGGTAAATGCAACGAAGATAACGTTGCTACTCTTATTATTACTATCTTGAAATTGATCTGCACTGCCGTTAATGAAATCCCCCGACAACCTTGTGCCAGCAATATCGAGACTTTATTAAAAAAGGTAGCAAACTGCCGGGGGCTGATGTTTTTAAAGCGGCAAGAAAGAATCAACAGAAGATTCCCGTCGATTATCGATATCGCGTTACACGGGGAAGCACTTTATACTAAGTCCAAACGATTTTTCCACCCTCCGCCTCTTACTACCACCCCCTTTTTCAAGAAGCTCCATCGATTATCGTATCCAATCTACAACGTTCGTGTTTCAACCCCTGAATTACTAACCAAAACCTTCGCGTTTGCTCGAACTTCAATATTACAACATTTCTAATCATTAAATTTCTGTTCCTCGAAGCAGCAATCAACCTAAAACTTTCCAAAAAATACAAATCCAAAGGAATGTCATCGAGTTCCCACGAGAACGCATCAACCTGCACAGAAGAATCTACAAAAATGACAGTTTCATCTACAAATCTCGAAAATTTCGCGAAACCTTCCGCCGATGCTCCCAGTATCCCGTAAACATTTCGATACGGCTGGAATAGACGAGCAAACGGCCAGAGGGGGCGACAGATAATGTCTATATGCTCTCGAATACACGTCTCTCATCCCCTGTGCACGCGTTAATGCAACAGAGGGAACATCGTTTCGAAATTCTCGTTGTGAACCGCGAGAAAAGTTACAGCGGTTCATCAGAAATGAATTAGAAGCTCGATTAACATACCCGGTTATGATCCGCGCGCGAAGTATCCCTCTTTCTATCCTGCCCTCTCGCTGAGTCAACAGAAGAGGAGTGATATTCGAGTAATTGCGAATCATCAAATGTTATACGTTTGTAATGTGCTATATTACAAGGTCAAATTTGCTCTTCTACCGGTTAATTTTATTCGCTGTTCCGCGGCTGCGAGAGACCATCCCCCATCGAACCTTTCGCCGCCCCCTTTATCATCCGGATTTGTGTACGTAATACGCGCGCAAACAATCGGAACGAGCCGCGCGCGGGGCAAACACGCCGATCCGCGGACCCAGATTTACCAATAAACTTTTATTCAAAGCATTGTTTGCTAGTTTGCTGTTACGGCTGGTTTTGCGCCAATGTAACGGGAGAACGGGCCGGATGGGAAAGAGCAACATTGTGCACGCTCTGGTATTTCACTTCGCTCGGCCCTGCGCTCAACCTCTCGCGGGGATGATCGATATTATCACGGTGAACGCGCGTTGATTTTATCTTGCCCTCTTTGTAATAAATAGAACCTGTTGTTGATGACACAACATGTTTTCAAAGGATCCTCGGATCGTTGTTGCTCTTCTTCATGCGATCATCCCCTGTATCAACAGAGTCTACGATCAGTATCATCTGTATTGTCAACAGTGATAATCAAAATTTCCATTTTATCTTATTCCATCGATAAATTGAATCCTTCGTCAACGCGAAATTATTCAAAGAAACTTTCGAGTCTTCCAGATTGTAGCTTTATTATCTTCTTAATGTGATCATCCCTCGGAAGATCGATATTAGCACAGTGAATGAGTTATCTTGCTAGATTCCTAAATAGAATCTCCAGCTATTGGTAACAAAATCGTTGAACGACGAAATTCCTCAAAGGCGTTTCCTAATTTTCGAACTGTAATCACGGGCTTACGATCTCCGCGATGCAAAGAATAAAATTTTTGTCGATGTGGGCCGATTATCGCTGATCAAACGGAATTTTCCGGGGAACCGGGTTCGGTCGATTACACAATCTGTACGAGTCTTTTCGGCGGCGATCCGGCAGCAAGTAAACTTCCGATGTTTGCAAATACAATGATCGCCGGAGGCCTCCGACTTATGCTTCCCACGGGCCGGGAGGTCTGTTTGATTTATCGGGGGGCGCACCCTCGGCCGCGCAAAATCGTCGACGGCCCCATTAGACGCGGACCCACCCCCACGTGCCGTTGCAACGATGCGCCTCCACTTCCGGCGCGACACGCGCCTCCACTGTCCCCTTTAGAGCAACGTTCGATCGAGAAAAACGATCGACTTCGCTCGATAAAACGCGATTCGATTCTTCAGACGCTCGACGGATCGTTAAGATCGTCTTCCCTGCATCCGACATAAATCTATTTCATAGAAATGTAGTTTAATTGCGTATTGAACTATGGACGTTCACGTAAACGCAGATTTTTACGTGTTTTTTGAATGAATTTGACGTTGAGGATAAATTGCTTTTCGTTGAATGCAGTCATGGCGTTTCTGTGTTATTCGGGTTTGTAAATATTTATATTAGATCTGTTACCAAATATTATGGTTTATTGCAGTCGGGAAAATTCGAATTTCTGGTTATGTTTGCAATATTACAGTAATGGAAGGAGAAATTTGATATATCATGGTTGAACTTCTTTTTGATAAAGACTCGTTGTATCGGAGAAGATTGCCTCGAGCATTCGTCGCGGAAGATGTTTGTAGGATTCTGATCATTCGAGCCGCATCCTAAGTTCTTTCGAAATTGGTCTCAAATTGCATGCGCGAAACATTTCCGTTCAACTCCCGCGTCTATGGAGATTGACTTCCTTCGGGTTGCACATGTTTCTAGTTGATGTTATTGGAACGCAGCAATTACTTAGTCTCGAAGCGTCGCTGCATGATCGAACGGATGGGGAACGCTCGGAAAATTTCCGGCGAATTGAAAATGGAAAATTATGTGGCCGATGTGGGAAGTCTGCTAACTGTTACAACTCAACGTGCACTTTTATTTCAATACATTTTTCCCACTGCCATTCTACTCGCAAATCTAATGCGAATGAAAGATGTAATGTCGTTTGTAAATCGTTCACGCGAGAAATTCATCGCCATCTTGTTCGCTAGAGACAAGTCATAGGACGGAGATTGTTTAACTTTCATCGTTAATGAACGAAATGCGATTGGTTTGCGTGGCGTTAGGTAACGATCAACTGCTATACTCACCGTCCAGGGGTGAGCGCAGATTTTCCACTGGCAGCCCTTAAATATGAACCCCCGGTTGTTATTACATTGCATCCACCGTGCATTACATCACAGTTCCTCGAAGTAATTAAAATTAATGTTCCGGATAGTGGTCGGCCACTGTGGCTAATCGTCTTCGAGGAAGATTTACGGACGCGCCGACGGCGGTTTTATTTCTCGATGAATGGATTATTCTTGTTCGTTTCGAAAAGCACGGTGTCTGAGTCATTTCTATATTCACTTGCCAACACATCTAATGTTCTTGCATTGTTACGACAGTTAAAGGAGTTTCGAGATTTTAATCATTTTCTGTTACTCTCTGGTGTCCGATTAAACTGGCAGCGATACGAGGATGTGATTTTCATAAAAAATATTGAAGATTTGAAAAAAAATAACGCCCGAACAGGGACTCGAACCCTGGACCCTTAGATTAAAAGTCTAATGCTCTACCGACTGAGCTATCCAGGCAGTCGGTATCACCCTTCTCAAAATAACGTGAATAACAGCCTCTTCTCTAAACCAAAATTCAATATTTGACTTCGATGAAAATGCATTTATTTATAACAAACGTTACTCACCATCTTGAAGCCAAGATTCCTGCCTGTATTCCTGGGTAGAGTATATTTCGTTTTCTGAAATAAAATTTTGAAGGGAATTAATTAATTGTTATATTAAAAATTCGATGAACAATAATATCATTGAATGATCTATGCTTCTATGAAATTATTTGGTCGATTAGATTACGTGACTTAGAGTTACGTAAACGTCTTATCGATTTTTCAGTATTGAGTCCATATGAGCAACTGTAACTCCACTGATAAGACCAGTTTTAGATAAAACGTTCAACTACGAGGGGAGATGATCTATAATTCGAAGAAGAAGGTGACGTATAGAAGAACAGAATACATAGAAATTAATTTACTCTCTTAACATTTACGCGACCGCCTAAAAAGAACTATAATTGCAACCTGCTACATTACCTTCAACCGAAATCATTCAATTAATTCGGTTGGAAACTGTGTTTTGTAAAAACAAGCAAATAATCCCACTTCAAGACTTGCTGAATAACAAAACAAAAGATGAACAGAATGAAAGGCAATACGTTGCTAAGTGAAAAGTGGATCTCCCCATTCGGTTGGCTAAGTGTTGAGAATCTTAACAAGTTGAAAATAAAGTAACAACATTGTTAATTTTTTACTAATATTTTTGCACTTTTCTATGCACTCGTATTTCTCGTAAATACATAAAGTTCGACGTCTATTTATAATAGTTCCGGAATCTCGGCTTTCTTAGCGCGACAAGGAATATAATGATATCGTCCGATCCGTATAATGATTAATGGTAGCTCGGGGATAATTAACTCGTGGCGAAATTAATGCCTCGTATTTACATTGATATCGGTTACTCGATGAATGTCCGTTTCGTTAGTCATCAACGCCAGAAAACAGATATCCCACGCAATTAATATTGAGCAAACGTTTGTCCATTATGGAATTACATTTTATGTTCCATGTAACACTATATTTTCTTCGTTAGATACTTCTTTGTCATGGAAACTGCGACGTC